TATTAATATATATATATATATATTAAATTTTAATTATAAATTTATTAAAACAATTTTTAGATTAAAAAAATTTAACAAAAATTGAAAATAAATAAATAAATAAAACAACCTATTAAGAAATCACCTTTAACAGTAAATGGGGTTACTTTGATAAATAAAAGGGGTTGGTTTTTTCAGGAAAATAAATTAAAAAATGATAGTAAAAAAATCGAAAGGAAAAGAGGGAATAAGACGATTTCTTTAGGGTACCCTACTATTGCATTCCCTCAATAGTATTTCCAAACAGAAAAGGTACATACTATCATGTTATGCACTTATGGGATAGTAATCATTTTCAAAACAGTGATGATAACTAAAACAGATTGCTTCTAATAATACACTTCAGTTTTAATTGCTGAGAAAAAGGTAGAATGAAAAAGAATGCACGTTTCTTTCCATTTTGTCCATGGACCAAATTACTTTAATATCTTTAATTTGTCTATATCTAAATAAGGAATATTTTTCCACATGTGGACCAGTTCCTTACAAACTTATCACTCGTTTAAATAGAGCCGTTAAAGTGGGCTAGGTCCGTCGGCTAACCCCGCCCACCTTGAAAATGGGTCAGACCGGATTAAAAAAATTTGAAGTTTTATAGTAAGTGGTATATCTCAACTCGACCCACTTTGACTCGGTCCACCGGGGCTGAATCCGTGGTAGGCCGGGTAGCCCACCAATCCACCAATTTTTTTTGCAATAAAAATTTAAGTATGATTTGTAGTTAATTTTATATGATGAGATATTGAAAAATTTTATTTTGAACTTTTATCATGATTTATATTTAATTTTGTATGATGAGTTATGACTTATAACTATTAATGATACTAATTTTATGACTATTATGTCAATTTATAATTAATTTAAAATTTTGAATTTTATTGATTTTTTTTTTTAATTTTTGGTGGGTTGGTGGGTTGGCCCGTATAACCCACCAACCCGTGGTGGGCCGGGCCGGGCTGGACCAATTTTTTTTTTAGAAAATTAAAAGTGAGCTAGGTTGGATTATCTCGTTTTTAAAATGGGTTAAGGTGAGCCGACCCACATGGGCCGGGCTGGCCCGTTTTGACAACTCTACGTTTAATAGGTGAAGTATTAACTACCAAATGCATTGATCAAATGATACTAAATTGTTAAAGCATAATTAATAGTATCAAAATGCATTTACCAACCGATACTAAATTGTTAAAGCATAATTGATATTATTAGTATCAGATTGAAGTCCATAATATATAATTGTCTTTAATTACTTTTTTTTCTTGTACTTTTTATTCTTTCCAATATATATGTAGGGTGGGAACATGGTGATGTGAAGTTCAGCGCATCTATTTTGTTAGCATTTGGTCTACTTGTTCGAGAAATGTTAGTGTCATGTAACATTTGGAAAATACTAGAATGGGAGTGTAACACCCCAGTAACGCGTCCATACAAGGAAGGTATTCACACTCATATATATGACATGCTTCGTTCTTCTTCCTAACCGATGTGGGACTTTACAATCCAATGTAACACCCCAGCAACCCGCATGTGGATATTGTCCGCTTTGGCCGCAGCCCTCACAGTTTTGCTTCTGGCAATGGCACGCATGCCACCCCAAAACGCGTCCACAAAAGGAAGGTATTCACACCCATATATATGGCATGCTTCGTTCTCCTTCCTAACCGATGTGGGACAATATCCACATGCGGGTTGCTGGGGTGTTACATTTGGTATCAGAGCCGGGACCCGAGCCGCTGTGCCAGCGAGGGCGCTGGACTCCCATGAGGGGGGTGGATTGTGAAGTCCCACATCGGTTACGAAGAAAAACGAAGCATGCCATATATATGGGTGTGGATACCTTCCTTGTGTGGACGCGTTTTGGGGTGGCATGAGTGCCATTGCCAGAAGCAAAATCGTGAGGGATGCGTCCAAAGCGGACAATATCCACATGCGGGTTGCTGGGGTGTTACAGGGAGGAATCTAGAAACCGTTGAAAATTACTTAAAGAAATTAATTAGTATTGTTTATATATAATCGATATGTATTTACTTTTTGGTAAAGTTAAATGTATTTGACTTGAAATAATTTAGGAATGAATAATCTTCTAAAATGTTTTTTAAAAAATGTGAGTGAAGATAATGTATCACAATAGTCATTGTTTCTAAAAGCGAACAAACATCTCAAAATAGATTATTGTAACAATTCAATAGGTTAATACACTTTACAACTCAATATCTACGAGTTGTGTAAGAACAACACAATCAATATTGTCATCTATAACATGACTCCCAAAAATCTAGTTCTCTCTTCGACCTAATCTTACCTTACTCCCATAATAATATAATCATTGCAGTCCAACAATAAGGAAAATGCAAAGGTAAGCTTGAATTCAAAAATTTAACATATAATCTATAGAAGTATTGCACTGACTATATTAACAACTTAATTCAGAACAATAGTTAATAACAACTTTTAATCAACATAACAATGTTTAACCATTGAATCAACATCACAACTAAGCAACATGCATGTCAACTTACAACACAATACAACTCATCAACATTTCAACCTAAAACAATATTACAACATATCAACACAATGCGTCGTCACACATTTCAACTAAGAGATCTCTTACAACAAAGTGAGTAATCTAAGTGGTTTAACCTTATCAAATTAACTTAAGAACGCAATCTTTTTGAACTTGCTAGATCAAAAACAAATTTGGATATCAATTCACAACACAACATGATTTATCTGATTTTGTCACTTAAACTAGGAAAGTCCAGTATGTTTGTCAAGATTACAACAACTTAGGTGTTAGCTTACCACGACCTTAACATGCATAATTAAGCGTATATGGAATTAGTCAGTCGACTATCCTCTAAATATTGTGTTCTTTCCAATACTTAGGTAGGAATTTTGGTCCCTAACCTTATAGCTTACTCAATTGGTCGTTTCTAAACTAGTATGACTTAAGCTTGTCCTATACAGTATCAACTAAGGACCTAGAGGAGACTTAACACTCCACTTCAAGAGACAACTATACTCAAGAAGGATTTTTCAACAACTGGACTCTTAGAACCACAACACGTATATCCTCACAATGAAATATTCATCTTCTGCAACAAAATCTCTTCTCTAGTCCTAAGTCAATAACACCACACAACTACATACATTGAGCATTCACAACATAGCTTCATTCAACTATATATATATACAACTCATCATCATACAACTGTACTTCATACAACTTCAACTAGTAATTAACTTTCAACTTAGCACTTCATAATATATCATCATATATTAATCTTTAAATCAACTAAGTTATGATTTACATTCAGCACAACCATGTCTGATGTCGTTTTACCTACAATGGGAGAGAGTCTCTAGCTCGCCCATGCCCAATCGATGCCCTTCCATTTTTGCCAATAAGAATGAAATAGGGAGTCTTTGTGTACACCACATCCAACGTCACAAAACCCACACCTAGCATTATTCAAGCAAAGAGCCTCTATTTGAACCATGACCAGTGCCACAAACCCCATGCACAACACAACCAATTATATATGCAATTAACATCAAATCAGCACATACAACCCAACAATAATCACTTTCCTTACCTCAAATCATCAAGAAAAGGGTACAAGAAGGGAGAAAAGCCCAAGAACGCCAAACTCTTGTACGGTGATTTTTCCTACTGATTCTCAGCCCCCCAAGCTTCAAATCACCACACTACTACTCAATCTAACTTTGGCGAAAGACACATGCACTCTACAAGATCAATAAAAGGAAGGAAATCTTTTTAGCTCGAGAACTCCTCTCTCTAACTCCTTTCTAAATTTCTTATAGAAATGAACTTAAGAAGTTCAAATTTTAAGAATATTTTATATAATTTTCCCTAAACCTTTTCAGCTTTCCCTCAATTCAAAACAACTCTTAACCAACTAAACTCTTAAGAATTCCTTAATTCTTAGAGTTTTAAAACATTACAACAATAAAACACACAATCATTTAACTAATAAAATAATCCAACAATTATAAAACTCACAATTTTACAATTATCCACATTAGGTTTCGACTGATGAAAGGTTTTGACAAATTAATGAGGAATTGAATGAAGTATTACCATATGAATTGTAGTGAAATATAGTTGTTGAGACATCAAATCTAATGAGTGTTACATTTTTCTAAAACTTTCTTTCTAATATTCTCTCTATTATTAGTTGAAATAATAAATTTTGATGAATTTTATCACTAATCAAGATAGGAACTCATTAAACGAGATGCAGGTCCCACAAAATTTATAATTCTCAATGAATTTGAGTCAATAATAAAGTGAATGTGAATGTTAGAGAAAATGTTTGCCATCACCGACATTCCTTCTGTTGTTTTGCTTGTATAACTCAAACATTTACCAAGAACGTTCAATATTATGTGGTGAAGTCAATTATCGGTAGAAACGTTATTGTGATTTCATGGTGGGCGATCGATGTTATAGTAAAGTTGTGCTGTTGTGCACATTTGAATAGTTTGTTGTTGTGCTTGATTAAACAAATGGGAAGATATTAGTAATAAGATTCATAATACAATGCTAGATTAAAGAAGGTGACACGGATTAGAACATTGAATAACATGAAATTTTAATTACAACGTCTTTCTTTAAAAATTGAAAGATGAGTAAGGAATTGAAAAGGCATCCTTAAGCTCCAAAGCGTTGAAGCTACCAATGGTTAAGGCTTTTCCAACTTCATCATTATCTGAAAATAACAATTGTTGATAGGTTGAGAGTGAACCAACCTTGTTAATTGAAGCATTTTAAGTGTATATATAAGTAATTAAGTATACTTCACTGTTGCGTAAGAAAACAAATTTTTGTACATTTTTAATCATAATTGAAGGAAAAAAGATAAGCATTAAGCAATAAAAATAGCTATATTATAATAGAAGAATGGTGGGTGATGGAATTAGCTTAGCATCTAAACAAGAAAATGGTGAACAAAGGAAGGATATATGCAGTCAAATGCTATCAAAAGTTTTAATTGGATGCTATTAGCAATTTCATATAACTTTATACTTAGTATTAACATCATTAATTAAGTAGTCACAAGTCAATTCGGTAGTGCTCGTATACACAATTTAAGGAAGAGGTGTATCTTAGAAGCCTTTAATTATTTTATCTAGATAACATATGTGTGTATAATTAATGATATAGTTACAATTAATGATATAGCTACAAGTATGGTGAACAATACATTAATCACGACTTAACCCATACATAAAACTTGTTAGGCTTTTTATTTTATAATGCTGAAATTTACTTTCAAAATTATCCATCTAGTATTAAAAAAAATCTTAAGATAAGTTGTGTATCATGGATACAAGATTCTAAACTGAAGTTTGTTATATATATGATTACTAATTAATTTAATATAAATTTACAAATAAACCATGTTTTTTTATATAAATAAACAAATCATAGCTTTCAATATAGAAAGTATAATTTTAAAAAAGAAATCATATATACTACGGAGATACCATGAATCATTGTATATGCAATGGTATATATACCAGAACTCAATGTATGGACAAATATTTTGGTGACACAATAAGATTATATGCATATATATATATATATATATATATATAGATATATATATATATATATATATATATAGAAATA